AGACTGTGCTGGAGCTTCATTTTCTTTGCATGAGCAGCAAGCTCTGAACATATCCTCTGACCTTTCCAGTGACCTCCCATTAGAAAAGATGTCCTTTTCAAGGGCTGTAGCCACCCAAAGAGCAGAAGGCTGTGTAGCTTATCCTAAAATTTTAATGCACTGGTCCTACTCCCAGATGACATTGTGCCCACACACTTCACCCTAATTCTATTGACGAGAAAAGCTCAGAAATAACCTGTTTACTCTTCCAAGGCTTTTCCAGCCCACTACATTGTCCTCAGCTTCCCTGTTCATGGGGAAGAGCAGGGAAGTAGCCCTGTGCTTTGCTTAGCTGAGGGCAGTGATACACATCTGTTTGATGTGGCACTTCCTCTAATTACCTGCCTAATTACATGCAGAAGCATACGTGCAGCTGAGTTTGAGTTGGTTCTGCCTGTCTTAAGGACTGCAATAAATCAAGGTCAGAAATTTCATATGCATCCCTTTTTCTCAGGAGGTTAGTCCAGCCTACACGTTACAAGCAGAAGAGCCTGCCTGAAAGTCTGAAATCTTGAAAACTGGTGCTATCTGAATATTAACAGCAGTACACGGATATTCATCTCATGCTCCGATAACATTGTTATCTCCCGAGCTCTTCGCTGCAGAAACAGGCGCTCGGCTCCCTCCCGGCTTTGCACATCAAAGGAGAAGCGACAATAGAGCAGCTTTGGCGGGATGCCATGGCTGGCCGGAGCAGACAGAGTGTTCTCTCGGTGCGGCAGGGGCGCGGCCGGAGCAGCCGCGGCCGCTCTGACTCAGCGCGCTGGGAAAGGAAACGCGCTCCCGCTCCGAAATAAACCCCGCCAGGGCTGCCACAGCCCGAGAGGAAAGGGGCACTGACAGCATGATTTAAAAATAATTAAATAAATGAAATTAGGCAAGGTCAGGGAGGAGGAAGGAAAAAAACCAAAATTTAGCATCAATGCACTTTACTCTTTCTTTGACCTCATGCTGACGCTCGTCTTCTTGCACAATCGGGAGGAGTGAATGGAGGCACACACCTTCCCTCCCCCAGCCCCGGAGCCGCCCTGCCTCCGTGCTTTTGGCTGCTGCAGCATGCGAGGTTCAAGGGGAGGGGCAGCCACATTACATAGTCCCCCAAATACACGTGTGTGTGTGTTTGCATATGCAGATACGCACCCCATCACTTGAAAATTACTTCTGAAGACCTCTGAGCCACCGATACCACGAGTTCATTCCTTCAGTGTGCTTTAAACGTCTGCCAGAGGTCAGGAATATGAAGTTGACATATGAAGTTCTCCTATGTTATTACAGAAAATTACATTTCACTTTTAGACAGGTTTTCAGATGTTCAGCTATGTTTTCTTTACCCTAAAGTTCCTAAAATAGAGTATTTTCTATATATGTTATGCAAGCAGACACACTGACATGACTTTGAAAGCAATAAAAAAAATCCAAAGCATAATGGAAACTTTAAATGATAGCAACATAACCATACATTTCCTGCTGCCTGCATTTGTTTTACTAAGAACACCGCTTCTCAGGTCCAGCTAATCAGCACTCATCAGTAAAACAAGATATCAGGGGGCACTGAGAGCCCTAGAGGTGTTTATCTTCCTCTTCTCTGAATCATGAGGCTTTTCAGAGAGTATTTTCACAAGACAAGAGAATTGTTCCCGAGTATCTTGTAGATCAGCAGTGTGATTTGGGAGCAAATCAAAAAGTAAAGCAAAAAGGACAAAGAAATGTTGAATCTCTCATGATTCTCTAGCTTTTCCCTATCTGTCCACTTCGAGATCATTGTGACTTTTTATTTTGTCCCATATCAAAAAGAACGGCCTGTTAATAGGTAACAAGAATCTGGAAAGATTTTTTTCAATGCTATAAATAGCCAGAACAGTTCTCCGGCCAGCAAAAGCAGTTCTGTGTTTATACCCAGGGAATGTAGACAGAGAAAGATAATGGTTTGTTTTGTTTAAGGTGGAATGACTTTGGCAGTGAGCAGTTGCATTGTTACTAATTTTATACAGTTAAATAGACAATAAAATCTTCAGAGTACATTTCAAGAGAGTTACAACACAGACTTAAATACATCTAAAACGCAGGTTGTGTATGCAATCATCAACATACACACAGAGCCACAGTGACTAACACTGACAGGGTGCTTCTTTTATTTACTTGGTTCTGCTGGGGCACACCACTGAAAGGCAATGCTCTGAACCTTGTGCTCGCACAAGAATCTTGCAGAGCTGGGTTGGATTAGCATGTTGCACATATTTACATTGGAGTAACGTTACCTGCTTTGTAAGACTGCTTCTGCATAATGCCTAGCTTTCTCTACTTCAAACCACTCTTGTTCTAGTCCATTCACCCCTCCATAACTACTTGGCACAGTTTCAGTTCTCCTCCTTCCCTTTATTTTTTTTGTAATAGGCTTTGTCAAGTCTACTCCTAAATCTTCCTGTTCATTTTGTTTCAGGGTCATATCTGAGGTGGTTTAAACTAAACAAAAGAAAACCCAGGAGTTACAGGCTGGTTGATTTTAGGTAAGACTCATGAGCTCAGAAACAAGGAGTTGCAACTCGGATAACAGCACAATTCACCACATAAACTATGCTGGTTTCCTGAAAGGAAGGGGACACTCAGCACTCTCCCTGCAGCTCCAGCACTTCTTGCCATAGTCCCAGCTTTGAAATCCAAGCTGGCCAGCTCTGCAGCATGCCTCAAGCCTGTAAAGAATGATTATATAATACTGCAGTACAATACTCTCTAGAGAAGGCAAGAAAAACACCACCAACCAGACCAGAAGTCTGTTGCCAGAAACAGCCCATAATGAAATACTTTCCAGTAATTTGCCCCTTAACTGCTGGTGTTGGGAGACAGCACCTACTCTCTGGTGCAGTGCCTTATCTGCCCCAGAGGGGCTTTGCAAGCCTCCTGCTTCCCGGCCTAATCCTAGGCACGCACTATGGATCCAGACTTGGAGATCAGGTGCCCTCTATCCCCTCCTCACTTCCCCCTGCCAAGCCACACACACTAATCTGCTGCACAAGCGGAGTACAGGGGCAACAGGCTAACATAATTTGGGGCTGATCTAAAGCAATCTTATAATTTAGTATTTATACTCAATTCTCTTAATCCATTTTATACACAGGCATATAAGCTATACCTTGCCTTGATATGTGTTTGCTCTCTCATCAGTGTGTGTAGTTCTTGAAATACATTCAGGAATGTATATCCTGAATAGTTAGAGTACCCCTAGTTAGAAAGCTGTGCCAGCCAACCTCACTGGTTAACTTGGCAGGAAGACATGGCACATCATTTGAGGAATGGCATCAGGCTGATGTAGCTGCACTGTTTCTCCCCAGAGATAACATGAGCTGTACTGTACCATGTGGACATCAGCAACCACATAGCTGAACAAGAACCCTGAGCTTCACTTCCAAGACTGGACACACCCATATGTTGGCAGGTTGACGATGGCAAAGTACATGCAGATAAATTCTCCATAAAAAGGCTCTACCTGCTGGAGATGTAAACTGTGAGGGGCACTTGACAAAAGTAAAATAAAGTCACATAACTGGGAAAAAAAAACAAAATCAAAAAACACTTTAACTTCATATAGATTAGTGTTCATTAAATTTTACTCTGGAACAGTTTAAAGCAATCATTGCTTGTAGACATTCCACATATTCAAATCCAATTCCCACGACTCAGAAGTGCAGTGGCCAGAAATACAATAGATAAAAACCATGTCTTACTTTAGCTAAACTGGCTGAGAAGCCACCATGAAAACAAAAAGGCAGGAAAAACAATAATCAAAAATCAGAGTTGGTGGCTGAAATTTAATTGAGGTTGCCAAATGGAGATCCAGAGTATGACCTGGGTTTGAAGAAAGAAAAAATTAAAAGGAGGGAAAAAAAGCTCTGGACAATAAATTTTCTTTCTAAAGCATTTTTCTTTGGTCTTGACAGGCTACAGAGTAAGCCCCAAATTACTCCTTCACTAAGCATTACATCAACAGCACTTTATACTCTTACTCTAAGATTTCTAGTTGGTTATCCTACCAGGGATGACAAAACAGGTCATCAGGCATGACTAAGGGCAGCACATGCTAAACATAATATAGTCCTGGGTAGAAACTGCCATAAATTTAAACAACAGGCACACACCAATGTTTAATGAAAATGTTGCTTCAGTATTGGAAAGTACAACACTAAACTAACATGACTTTCAAATAACAAAGCCATGCACTGCAGACGCTACCACTGTAGCTCATATGACATGGGTAAAGTTCACATGAACTTTTACAGTGGTTTCACCCATTCTGTGTTGGAGTAACATCTCTTTGAAAGCAAGTTCATTATAGCATGATTTGACAAGACAAAAAGAAAGGACAGAAGACAACTGTGTGAGCATAAAGCATTTTAAACCAAACACCATCCACCTACACACTGCACAGAGACCTGTGTAGACAAGAACTCATGGAGCCAGATCTCAAGTAGAAGACCAGGACAAAAAGTCAGTTTAGAACAAACCTCACTCCATCCACTTATTTTTGCTCCAAACTAGCATTGTGTGTGACCAGTTCATTACTGCATGCTGTTTTTAGCTCACCGTTTTTCAGAATTAATGTGAAATGGAAAGATTCTCCCACAAGTCCAACAGCCATCTGGTGCTATTGCTGTACTTCATGAAAAATTCATTGCCTTTTTATCATAGTCAGCTATTTCAGCAATTGTAGTGATTTATGTTTTTAAGCAGAATATTTTATTCACTATTGATGTTTGCAAATCTGCTGCAGCATCACAGTTCAACAGATTATGTTCTTTCTGGCTTCATCCTGGGGGTTTCTAGCAGCCTTGAAGGCAGTAGAAGCTGCAAAGAAGTCCGTTTTAGTAATAGATTTATAAAATGGACGTCACAGTGTTGTCTGTTTTCCCAAGCTAAATAAAGCTAAACTCAGTGCCAGTGAAACATGCTCAAGCACCAAGAGCCACATTACAGCTCCAAGCTCTCATTCAGCCATTCATCTCCAACAGAGCTATCTGTCAAGTAACACATTTGAGTGCGAGTTGGATATTCATTCTAGCTCAGAGAAATGTTATATTTTTCCTCCATGCTCTACTTGCAGGAGATTCTGCAGGCAGAATTGTTTCAGCAGGCCATATGGAGACCAAAACCAGTGGGTTGAGGAGTGCACAGGCTAAATCCCTCCTCCTGAGTGATGAGAGAAGCATCAGCAGCGCAGCAATTGCTTCCCGGACTTGTACCCAGTCATCAGGAGCTTGGCTGTAACACCTGCCTTGATCCTGTCCTGTACCACACTCGTAGGAGCTGCCTGTGCTGTGGCTTTTGAAGCCCTTAAAATTGTGCCTTTTCTTCCCTCCTCCTTCAGGCTAGCACTAATAAGGCCAAAAGAATTCAGATAATATAGCTTGGCAATTCCTTTAATCAGAACGAATGCTTGTGAGGGTTGGTAACACCTGGAGAGTGGGTGTAGAATACAGCCCCAACAATTCAATACACAACAGGCTGCAATAGGAAATAGCTACTAAAACTAAAAAGGAAGTGAGTGAATATTCATACGTTCTCATCAAAAATAAGACCACCTTTAGCAGTCCCTTTACATACCCACAAATACTTTATCAGCCCACACAATACTTCTGTTTCAAGCACTGCAAGTTACCTCAGCCCTGGGTATTCATATATGCTGTCAGGGTAATATTTCTGAATTTTAATCTTAAAAATACTGCTTTTACTCAGTCAAAGGTCCAAGCAGGTATTTTGCTTTGAAAAAAGTTTTGAAAAAAACCCTAAACTCATCCCTGAATGAGTTGATGTCACAAAAGCATACTGAAAGCAGAAGGTTTAAGGAAACAAACGATACCAGTGTACAGGGAGGGTCCTGGAGAAGCTGAAGCTGCCTCAGAGCCAAAACCAACAAAAAACATAAGAGGAAGCAACAAGGTCTTCTTCTGGTACAGAGTAATAAAAAGCAATTTTATAGAAAACATGGTTCAGTTGCTGAATGGGCTGGAGGAACGTGCTGCTAAAAGAAGCAGAAAAGCCCTTTACTGATGAGGTTTGGTTTCAAGTCTTTCTGGTTCCTTTGCCCAATGGAAGTGCCTGGGAGAGCAGACTGAATATCTGTCTGGTGCTATGGGCTCAAATGAGCCTGTGGGTGACTAATGAGACCAGTGAGACTGCTGGCCAGCACCACTGAGATGCCATCTTCTATTACCTTTAAAATGTCATGGCACTTCCAGAAGGGCCCAATCACTTTAGAAATGCAAAAAGATCAGATTCCTCTTCAAGAAGGGTTATCTTGGGAAACCACAGACTTAATCACAGTCCCTGGAAAGACTGTGGAGCAAGTCTTCAAAGCCATTTCTAAGCACAGTAAAAGTGAGAAGATATGGAGAACTGGCAATGGGGAGTTACCAAAAGGAAATAGTGCTCAACTGATATGATCTCCTTCCATGAAGTAAAAGGAGGATTTGAACAAAGAGAGGTAGATATGTAGATATCCTTTACCTTGTCCGTCCCAAAGCTTTCCCAACAGTCTCCCTCAGTATCTACACCAGCCAAGTCAAAGGTATGGATGGTTGACACATAAGGAAAGTAGAGAACTGCAGGACCACTAATTGGACTGAGAGTCAGTCATCAGAAACCCTTGAGTCTCATTGGGAGGGGTCAAAATAAAAATGACCAAATACTAGCCCAGGCTGCCCTTTGCACTATTTCAATCCTTTGAGATTACAGAATAGTTGGGATTAGAAGAGATCTCCGGAGATCATTTTGTCCAATCCCCCTGCCAAGGTACATTCACCTAGAGCAGGTTACAAGGAACACATCTGGGTGAGTTATGAATATCTCCAGAAAGGGAGACTCCATAACCTCACTCAGTAGCCTTTTCCAGTGCTCTGCCATCCTCAGTGTAGTTCTTTGTCATATTAAGGTGGAACTTCTTGTTTTTTATTGGTTCTGTATTTTAGAGATCTGCACAACTTGACTGGGCAAGGGTCTGAGCAGCTATGCTCAACTTCAGAGCTGGCTGTGCTTTTGGGAAGAGCAAGAATTTGATTAAAGTATCACAAATGCTGAGATCCAGGCTTTTCATGTCCAAAGATCAAGAAGATATCCCAGCGCAACTTCACATGAAGTTTCTTTCCCCTAAAGAAGGGTAGAAATAACTTGAAGTATGACTTTCAGAGGCACTCTGTTCTCCCTCCTCACTTACTTTTTGAGATAAACTCCAGTGTGTTGGAGATTCTAAGCAGAATCTATAAACAGAGATTCCAAGCAGAATCCACAAACACGCACAAGAGATTATACTGCCAAGTTCAAAAGAGTAAACTATGCAAACTGCAGAACAGCTTGAACTTTTAGCTTTCCTGCACTACAGATGATTGCACAGCCAGGCTCTCGCTGCTCTGTTGGGCTGGCTTTGCAGGAAATACCTACACGCCTAAACAAACAATAATAGTAGGAGAGGTAAGAGCTCTCCTGCCCTGTCATTCCAATAAGATCACCTGACAATGCACTTACGGGCAAACCAATCAGTCAAACAAATCATTAACTTGGAGTTTCAAGTACCATGGAAGAGACTTTCTGCTTTCAACACAGCTCTCTTTCCTGATCAGAGCAAAAGGCCTCTCTACACATATAGCAACCTTCACACAATAACATTACTGCCAACTGCAATGGATAAGGCAGGTGGCTGTTCTAGTTATTGCTTTAGGCTGCTGCTAAATCATTTCCCAGGGGAAGGACTGCACCTGCATGAATTCTCACAGACTACTAACACCTCCTCTCAAAGTCAGAAGCATTAGCATGGAAGTGAACATCGACAGAAGTGAAAAAAAATCTCCCATTTTCTTTCTGTACATCCTCTGGAACTGTCTTACCCACTCCAGTCTCTCCAACACAAAACTTGAGTAAAGAGGCTTCAGCATGGTTGTCTAATACATTTTAATTTTGTGGTGAAAAAAGCAACCCCAAAACCCCAATGTAATATTAAAATCACTTAATTCCTATTAGAATAGGTCTCATTTAGATGTCAGTGGTAGGAAAGCTCAGGGGGCAGAGTAGCCCCCACGTTTTGTTACCAGTATCATGTAGTTCCATCCCAGCTCTGAAGGATAGTTAGTTTACATGGGTTCATATAGCACACTAGCATCTGCTCACTGCTCTATTCTCCCCATTTTCCATATGCTGTATTCCTCTAATTCCTAGTCATCTTATTGAAATTACAAGGCTGAGTATTGACATTTTGGTCTGTGTTTTCATAG